GTATTGGAACGCTCTTGTAACTGTAAGCTACAACTAGGGCCTACATGTCGTAACTATAATTATGGTCAAGCAATTATTTATCGCATCTGGTTTCTACCTAGGGCGGCGAGCTTCGGGTGGGGCAAAAGCTGTTAGCGAGCATTTGTTCGGCAATAAATGCAGGCTACAGCACAATATCAGCACAACACGGTTGTGATATAAATACGCTGAACATAATAAATATTATCTTTAAGTTAGTCATCGAACATGTAACTTACCTAAAAGGGCATACTTTGATCAGTATCTTCACATGAAATATACAAGCGCTTTCTTGTAACCTCCATTTTCATTGGAATGGCTGCTCACTTGCTTTTGCGCCGAGATTCGCTACGGTGGGCGATTATCCAATGGCAAAGGAGCGTGTAGTGCATGCACAGTAGAGCACCGTATCTATGGAGCACCTACGTGCTCTGCGTACAGTTTGGTTTGGTGCTCCTATATATATAGTATAAGCTATATATAAAATTCAGGACAAATTAAATTATAATATACAGGACAAATCAGGAACATATTAAATATAATGACAAATTAATATACAAATTTGTTATTATTAACCCCTGATATACAGGACCGTAGCCTCAGAGGCGTATCTAGGAAAAACAGCGCAAGGGGCAAGTGCTAAAATTGCGCCCCTTCCAACTTCTGACGCCAATGAAAAAAATTAAGAAAAAAATGCAATGTTGAGTTATTGGTTGTTCCTCCGATTAGGATGCCAATTCTTCTAAACTACAGCTACTATCCCAGGTCCAGGTACAGGGCGTGTACAGGATTTGTACCAGAGGAGGTCTAACCGTAACCAAAGTTGTGACCGCGAAGGGGGTCTGAACATTTTTGAAATTAGACCCTTTAGATGTTTTCTGCGCGAGCAGGGGGGGGGGGGTCCGGCCCCTGGACACCCCTGTACACGCCCCTGGGTAATCAACTTGTCAAATAAAGGATTGAATTATTTCAGATATCATTTTAGTAGGCAGATTGTTTTTTTCTTCTTTGCCTTTTTGGCCGCCCCTGAACATGGCGCCCGGGCACGTGCCCCTTTACCCATAACAATTATTCTGTTTCTTATTTTTTTTTTTTAATTTTTTTTTTTTTTTAAATAATTTTTTTTTTTTATTTTTATTTTATTTTTTATTTTTTTTTATTTTCTTCTTTAATTTCATTTTTTTATATTTTTTTTCATTTTTTTTTTAATACTTCTTTTGTCATTCTTTTTTCTTGTTGATGCATTTTTTTTGTTCTTTTGTATTTTTAATTTTTCTTTGTTATTTTTTTTTGTTTTTTTTATTTTTTTTTTTCTTTTTTTTTTATTTTTTATTATTATTTATTGTTTTTTTTTATAATTTTCTTTTTAGCCTCTTCGTTTCCTTGTCTTTTCGTTTTTATCTTTAGTATTTTCTTTTATCTTTTTTTTCCTCATTCTTTTACTTTATTGGCTTTATTTTATTATTATTGACTTTTTTTATTTTATTTATGTTTATCATTTTTTTTACCCCCCGGACATTTTACCCCCAGACAATTACCCCCCCGCCGACATTTACCCCCCCCCGACAATTTTAACCCCGGACATTTACCCCCCCCCCCAGACAATTACCACGGACATTTAACCCCCACAGACAATTACCCCGGGACAATTACTCACTGATGTTTTATTATTTCATTGGTTGAGAACAGTGTAAAAGGGAGGACGGTCGAGGAGAGCGGAAGACGGTTGGTGGAGGAGGAGGGAGGAGGAGAAGGTGGAGGAGGAGGAGGAGAGGAGGTTGGAGCGAGGAGAAGAGGAGAGGGAAGTGATGAGGGGAGGGAGGCGTGGGAAAAGTGGTGGGGAAGAGGAGGAGCGAGGAGGTGGAGAGAGGGGTGAGAAGGTTGGAGGAGGAAGAGGAGATTGGGTGGAGGAGGAAGGCGAAAGGAGGGGGAGGGGAGGAGGAGGGAGGTGAGGGAGGCGAGGTAGGAGGAGAGGAGAGGTGGTGGAGCGGGAGGGAGAACGTGGGGCGTAGAAGGGGATGGAGAGGGAGGGGAAGAGGAGAAGGTGCAGAGGAGAGAGGAGGAGGTAGAGAAGGGAGGATGGTAGGGGTAGGGCCAGGTGGTGGAGCGAGGAGGGGTGAGAAAGTGGTGGAGGAGAGGAGGTGCGAAGGAGGAGGAGGAGAGGAGGTAGAGGAGGAGGAGGAGAGGAGTAGGGGAGGAAGGAGGAGGAGGAGGGGCGAGCGTGGGGAGAATGGTGAGTGGGGAGGAGGAGGGGGGAGGTAGAGAGGGGGGGAGGGGGAGAGGTGCGAGGAGGAGGCAGGACGAGGAGGTGGATTGAGGAGGAGCGAGAGGAGCCAGGAAGAGGATAAGGAAGGTGGAAGGAGGAGGCGGAAGGAGGGGAGGAGGGGGGAGGAGGAGAAGGAGGTGGAGGAGGAGGGGACGTGGGTTTAGAGGTTGTGGAGAAGGAGGGGTGAGAGTGGAGATAGGTAAGGGAGAGGCAGGAGGTAGAGAAGGGAGGAGGTAGCGGAGGGCCATGGTGGTGGGGAGGAGGGCGAGAAGGTGGTGGAGGAGGAGGAGGGGAGAGAGGAGGTGGAGGAGGAAGAGAGAGGAGGTGGATGAGGAGGAGGGGAGAAGTTAGGACGAAGGTGGTGGAAGGGACGGGAAGGGAGAAGGGGGAGAGAGGAGGAGGAGAAGAGGTGTGAGGGAGGCGAGGCAGGTGAGTCGAGGACGCTTACTTCCTCCTCCTCACCAAATTCTCCACTCCTCTCTTCCTCCTCCCTCAACGACACCTCACCTCAGATACTCTCCTCTTCCCCTTCCTATTCCTCCCTCATCCAACTTACCTTCTCCGTCGTCCTCATAACTCCTCCTCTAAATGTCGGGGTTAAATGTCCGGGGGTGGGGGTAATTGTCCGGGAAGGGGGAGCGATTGTCGGGGTGGGTAAATTGTCCGGCGGGTAAATGTCCCGTGGATGATTGTCCGGGCGGCGGTAAATGTCGGGGGGGTAATTGTCCGGGGGGTGTTGTCAGCGGCGTAATTGTCCAGGGGGTGTAAATCGGCATGGGGGGATAAATGTCGGGGAGTATTTTTTATGCAACTCCGATTTTTATGGCACGGCCGAAGCTAGCAGGGGCAACGGCGGAGGGGGGTTGCCCATATGGGGGGGGGGGCACAAACTAACGGATACGTGTATCCGTTAGTCTGGGGGGGGGGGTGCTTCTTATAGAGATGGAGAGCCTATATATAACTATTGTTAATCATTTTTTATAGTCCTCCAAGATAAATTTAGATACTATGTTATATTGTCAATTAGCAATGGAGAACTGCCCAAACGCCCAGAACACAATTAAACCTGTGATTAAACCGTGCATGCATGGGTTTGCCTCCCCCCACCCCCACCCGGGCAAAATCACTATAGCTATATATATATGCGCCTCTGACATGAACACCGATACCTATCCAGATATAGGCCTACACACGTGCGTGCAATAGGACAGACGCATATATAGTTTCCACATCTATGATGCTCCGTACTGTAAACGTACGGCGTGTTCAGACTATAGTCACCTATATATATAACGTCGAGCATGACGTCGCATATTTGTGTTCCATAACTGCCGTCGCGTTGCGCGTTTTAAATCCTTTCTCAACCACGACGTCCTTCTGTTTTAATTATGATATCACACGTTTTCAACCGCGATGTCGCGCATGTTCACCCACGACGTGACGTCGTCCTTTTCATTCATGACGTTTTTAACCGCGATGTCGCGCATTTTCAACTACGACGTCAAACTTGTTCAACCACGATGCGGTGCACCTTTTTTAAACACGCTCTTTTTAACCACAACGTCGCGCGTTTTCGATAGCCACAGATCTATCAAGAACATAGATCCACAAAGATCAACACAAACATGGACACAGAAATTAACCTATTCAAACACACATAGACACACTTCCATTGCTTCCATTTTCATGCATATTTTCTGAATGCAGAACTAAATAGAAATTTGAAGTAAACTTAACACTGTAGTACCTACAGGCAGTATTTAAATATTTAAATTGTAAACCAAAATATTCGCGTTCATACCGAAATTATATTTTCAGTTGCCATCTCACAGCAACCATAAAGAGACACCGCATGCAAAAATAGACACACCGGCAGCTATACACGTACGCGTACGCACTCACGCGCAAACGCGCGCACGCTCGCAGTCGGACGGTTAGCGCACGGACACCCACTTACACGTACGCACGCAGGCACGCATGAACGAACACGTTCGGTTACATATCCTATAACATATACATGAGGTAATGGGATTTAATTTTCTTGTCAAGCCATGGCAACGAATATTTTGCACTTATTTCAACATAATGATAGGTCATGCGCGAACATCACAATCATGATCTCCCGCGATTTTATGCCCTACTCATGCAGCTCCTCATCGTTATTAAAGCGATTGGTAGGTATTGGTTGGTATAATAATATATTGTATATTACATTAGTGGACAAAAACCCCTTTCAATTATTAATAAAGAGTGTAGAGGCCCACAACTGCATATTTCGTGTGTGGCCGCATATCAACTCCTAATGGCAGATTTAAATTATGTTAGTGTTAACTCCGTCATGCAGCTAGGACACCCTATAATTATTAAAGAGAGACATTCAAAATAATTTCGTATGCGTAGTGACTGCGAGGAGCAGACTTATAACATGAAATCAGGAACTGATTCAGAAGGACCTTTTTTGTCTTCGTTAGTAACCCAAAGACTTGGGGGAGATAGAGTAGGTTGATTATAATTAGTTTCAGTTGTCTAATCATCCGTCATTTTTATGTTTCAGTTGTCAGCATTGTCCCACGTCCAATGCCTAGAATAAAGGTGGCGTCAGAGACAAATGGTTGTTCTTATCTACTTCAACCTAAAATCCCTTGTTTTTGATTACAATCTTTTGTTTTTGATCCTACTTACAAGGCATATACTTATATCAACATAACAATCAACATCAATTTGAGAATGCTTTATTCAAATCCTCACAGTCATGCAATGCAATCAGGTATAATGTCAAGTATTACAGTAATAATTCATGTTTGAACACTGTTAATATGAAAACAATGTCACTAACAAAATAATATTTTCCAATGAATTATATTGATGTAAAAGTTACTATATTCTCCATGAATAACATGCAAGAGTATTTACATTCCATGAAACATATTGAAAAATGAAATGACAAAAGGCATGCAATCGACCCTCTACCATTCCACAATCATCACTATATGGCATGTTGTGTTATCAAAAAACATTTATAATTATTATAGCCATATTATGCTTTAGCTGAGTTGCTGTACTATCAAATAATATAAAATAACCTAAATTTTTCAAGCATTTTGAATCAATTTTACCCATGACCTTATTAATCATATAAACTTATTCTTTCCTACAGAAGTAGTAAACCAATAAAATATACTAGTGTTCATCTTAATGATGAATTTCTGGATCAGTTCTAATATACCATGCTAGTACATGTAATACTGATTATAAAATAACACAGTGTCATATCTTCTATAAGTTATGTTCAGTACTAATTGTGTATCATGATCTTGTACATTCACAATACATTCTTAAGTGAAAAATGAAACTCTCAAAGTCAGAAACTGATACAAATTATGTACATTAATGACAGTAGTGGAGTTATGTCATACTCACCAACCATCGCACCACTGTTTTTACCGAAAAGATGGATGCTGTAATTATATCTCTTTCTTAGTATGTTTTTGGTACCAGGTTGCAGACAGCATGCGGAAATTGCTGTATGCCTTTAAAATGACGACTTCATATAGTATTAAACCCGCACATAAATGTCAATAATAATGAGATGTTCTAGTGTAGAATAATATTAGGAGAACATATATTATAGATCAAACAACAATAGAAATTAAAAACCTCTTATTTTAAGTCTAATTACGTAACAACATGCACTTAGTTTGAACAACGTGTTACTTGCTTGCTATCGGCTGTGCTTGTTCGTCTCAGTAAGACTAACAGCTTCTCCCAGCCACGTTTCTGCGCCGAGCTACAAGTGTTAAGATGCACCAACCTCTGATTATTTATCTGTGGCAGTACGCAGCCCAAAGCACCATGTCTATATCTAGAATATCTAAGCATTACTAGCTAGCAAAGAAAGCGGCTTATGATAAGTTCTGTGTATATGCTAATTATGTTCTATATAAAGATAGATACTGATAATCAACTGATACCAATTCCAAACAGCGTGAATTTAATACTCAATTAAAGTGTGAAAATGTCACCGAGTATCAGATTGTTGCTTCTTTATGCACTTCTAGCTAGGCTGCGGAATGTTGCACGAACAGTCGGGTGGGTCTTATTGAAACGAGCAAGCATAGCCGATCATTTGTAAAATACTAGATTATTCAAACTACGTTCATATCGTGATACTTAGTGCGATTGAAACTTAGACTTCATTTCTAGTCTTTATCTTTGTTTGCTCTATAGATTATGCACCCTTGACAACGTTATGTAGTGCACTTTCCATTTGTGCATTATATTAGTTTCTGGTCATGAATTGGGGGAAAATTTCCCACAATATTTTATAATAGTGAAAATTGAATATAAAAAGGCTAAAAATGGATTGAAACAAATTTGCTTCGAAAACCGCCTTTGAAGATATTAACATGAAATTGAAATTTAACTCACTCTTCTACTTCCAAACTCACACTACATTTCTCCAGATGTCAACCTGACAACGTTTGCACTACAAGTTGCACGAACCACTTCGCTAGGTTCCACTTCAAAAATATAATTCTTTCATTTTCCTCCACACACACGTTACCTGTAAGCTCGACTACACACTGCAATCGTGCGTCCCCCGCCACCACTACTGCTGGATGAAATACACGAGGCGGTGAGAGCCGTCCGGTTCGCTTGGTATCATCGCCGCGACCGCGACCGAGTCGCCGCCCTGCGGGTCGGGCGGCATCAGCTCGGTCATCGTGATGTGCTGCTCCTGGTGGTGGTACGGCGTCGTCGTGTGCGTCATCTGCGCCGCCGCCGCCGGCGCGCCGTTGCCGTGGTGCTGCGCACTGTAGACCATGTTCTGCGGACTCGACGTGTGCATGACGGACACGGCCGGCAGCTGCACCATCGTCGGCACATGCTGCGTGACGACGTTCTGTCCCGCGGCGGCCGCGGCTGCGGCGCCGATCAGCACGTTCGCGCTCACCTGAGATGTGTCTCCCGCGGCGAGACTCGCCAACGTCTCGGCCGTCTCCTGAGCGCTGCCGGCGAGGTGCACGCCGCCGCCGCCCAGGTGTGTCATGACGGCGACGTTGCCCTGCTGTGCCAGCTGGTCCATCTCCACCATCGCTTCGACGTCAGCGAGGGTCGGCTTCTGCGTCAGCGGGTGGCTCTTGCCCATGTGCTCGTGCAGCTTGCCCATGGTGATGCAGCGAAACGCGCACTGCGGGCAGTAGAACTCCAGCGGCTTGCCTGAAGAGCAGACAGTTCGATTCGAATTACGTCATTTACACATGTGAATTACATTGTGGAGATAACGTATCAGTTAAACAAGTTAATACTGATAAAATTACAACAAATGAAACTACATGACAATTCAGACTTTCAGTATAACATGTGAAACCTGAGTAGTAAACTTTTTGTTGGTTTACTAGATACTGTATACTAAATATATTATCACTGGCAAATAAGATATAAATGTGATATTTTAATTCATTACCAATTGCCGTGACAGGGAACTCCTTATGAGGGAAAATTTTAAAAACAGCGCATTGATAATTAATTCCTAATTAATTTGCCCCAAGTTCCCATTTTCAAAAGTTAGCTGCAATGATATGATATGTAACTGACAAAGCTATTTTCCTATAGTACATTAAGGGTCAACTTAAGGGTCATCATTCTCAGACTATTCTCAGCAGGGTGCAGAAAAACATGGGAGCGTGCATTTAAAGCTAAAACATAATAATTAAATCCCCCTTCTCTGATTGTGCTCACCTGGATGTTTACTTTTCATATGCGCCTTGAAGGCAGTGGACTGGATGCAGGCGTAGGTGCAATAAGGACAAGCGTAGGGTTTCTCCCCAGTATGTCGCTTCTCATGACGTAGCAGATTGCGGTGCTCGTACGTAGCAAATGTACAGTGGTGACACTGGTAAGGCTTGTCCCCTGCACACAAGTAATACAATGATGTACCGTACCACTTAATAATATGAACTCACTAGTTTTGTGATATATCTAAGTATGTATCCATACATGCTTACCATCCAACAAAACAACATGCTTATGCCATAAATTCATCTAATGCCGAGTGCTCAAGAAATGTAATGTAAAGAAATGCTGCACAAATGTAACCACAATCTCTCTTGAATACAGGGACGTGTGCACGAGCAATATATAAATACCTGTATGAGTTCTTGTGTGCGCTATGACACGAGACTGCCGGCAGCTGACATAGTCACAATATTGGCATTTGAATGGCCGCAGCTTTAAGTGCATGTAACTGTAAAGAAGGGAATACAGAGCTATCATGCATGACAAAGCAAAAGATGAGTTATCAAAAACAAACTAAACTCGACCAAACGATACGGACGAAGCAAACACGGTGAACAGGTTCATCTATTATTGAAATTACACAAACTTTTTGGCAATGTAGAAAAGCCATTTTTTTAGTTTTTTAGTCAAATTTTTATAGGCTATCTAGGATAGAAGCATTTCACTTACCGATGATGCTTCTTGAGGCTGTTTTTATCTGCGAATGTCTTTTGACATAGTCCACACATGACTGGCTCACGTTTGGGTTGCTTGCGCTTCCCATTGCCATGAACATTAACCTGCCAACCAAATCCCAGAAATAGAACACTACAGACACTATTTTAAAAACACCACAAAATGGATTATACTATCCTTTATATGGCCAATAATTACCACCAATTTAAATATATAATTATCGTCAGCAACATCAGAAATAACGCTGCTAAAAACATTTCAAGTGACGTCATTTCTAACACTATCATTGATAACGTTAACCGTAATGCTGCTGAATTAATACCGTAATTAATTATTAATTATTACCACAATTAATTCTGTAATGCTGCATTACGCGACCGAACATACCTGATGCTGCTGGAACAGATGACGGTTCTTGAAGGCCCGCCCGCATTCCTCGCACGCGAACGGGCGGTCACAGTTGTGCGAGGGCTGATGGACAAGCATGAAGTAGGACAGACTCTCCGTCTTGTAACCACACTGCTGGCAGTGGTACAGACCAGAGTCCTTCTTGTGCTTCATCCACAAGTGATTCTGGAAGATCTTCCAGCGCGTGTTCGAGTAGTTATTGCACTCGGGACAGTAATACGTGATCTCGTTTTTGCGGTGGCACTTCTTGTGGTACTTTTGCTGCTCCAGACTGCGAAAGACTCCCTTGCAGTGCTCGCGTGGGCAGTGGTACTCCCACGACTTGCTCGGGTCGTCGTACACACGCCGCTTCCATCTACGGTCCTTTATTGGCTTCCCGTTCTTCCCGATCTTCTTCTTCTTCAGCTTCTTTTTGGTGACCTTTGGTACAGGCATCTTAGCCAGCTCCGACTCGTCGGTAATGATGATGTTGTGCTCCTTCTCCTGCATTAATAAACCAATAGATTCATTGTAATGTATAACTAGTTTATCGACTAATAAATTAATCTATAATATTGAACATATATATTTTGTTGGCATACTAGATGCCATATAGTTAATAAAGTTCATATATCTATTTAAACAAGCAACCCACTAATTCATCAAGAAATCTGCAATGTTTGTTTAGTGTCATACTTAAATGCATAAGCAGACAACAGATGGAAAAATGTATTGTTTTGATTTCATTGTACTTAGCGCCTACAATATGAAATAAGAGGTGAAAGAGAATCAGAACATCATTATACCATGTGTTCCCTGCACAAGAATGCATTAGTGAAGCTGGCACCACACTCCCCACACATGAACACATCCTCTTCAACCTCATCTTCTTTATGGTTGCTGTCTTCCTCTCCCTCAGCTTCCTCTTCTACTACGTCATCCTTTCCTCCTATTTCCTCCTGCTTCTGAATGCAAAAAACAAGCTAAGTGAAACAAATTTACCTTTACCACTATCTATACTCAACCTAACAAATATTTATGATAGTGACAGTAACTATGCACGCATAATTGGTATATAAAAAGTACGTATTGTTCAAAGTTGATACTACTAGTTCAAATATCCTTTCGCACACATGTTTAAAGGCTATTTCTCAGTATCGATTCAAACTATTTTGACAATTAAGAAATGTAAATATATTAAGATATACTGACACACTTGTATATAAAGGTTCTCTGCAGGCCTACCAAAATCAGAGCTCACGCTTCCTTTCCATTGCGAATTTGCCCTTACCCGTAATCTAACCTCAGCGATGAAGGAACGTGACACGCGCCTTCCTCCCAATCGAGCCTCACCTATGGCGAGCGTGTGATACACTCACAGCACCTTCACTTAGAAACCATGGAGACGTGCGCACCTGTATGATCACCGCCGTCAGACCGTCGGTTATGACAGAAGCTGCAGCATCTTCTGGCTGCTGCACTGTTTGCTCCACCACATGCTCCACCTCTATGGTCGCACCCATCTGCTGCTCTTGCGTTGTCGTCGCAATCCTCTGCTGGTCCCAGGAGCCCTGCATCATTTGCCCTTGAGGCTGATAGATGCCTGACACGAGATAAGAAACACTCCTATTAGTTTTATAATTTGGCATCACTTACACCTCGCAGTTATCAGCCCAATTTACGTAGATAACTCGCACCAAGCTTGAGTCATGTGTAAGATTGAGGAAACCCTGATGTGCAAACGTCCAAGCACAATACCAAATAATTTACATACTTGCTTGACCTGACACTGAACCTGTTTTCCAAAACAGCAACAAATATCTTTTAAAGAAATATATAGCATTTATTGTTATATTTTTAGGACATGCGATCCAGCATGCATTGAATTGTTTAATTAACCTTCATTGCTCACACTTTCCATCTAGTATAGATTCGCACGACAAGCAAAAAACACGAAAACCTACACAACATCACGAACTGCTGCCAACAACGAGTTATCCTGCTCTGATTTGTTGTGACACACCACAATTAATAAAGCATTAAGAAAAAATTAATCTAAGTAAATATCAAAGCTCCTTAACGACATAAAGCAACACTCACTCCTCTCATAGTCATGCATCTGCTGCGGCAGACAGTTCTGCACTAGCAGCTGCTGCTGCAGGATGTTCTGGTGCATGCCGGGTCCCTGCAGCTGCATGCCGTGGTTTAGCGGCACGATCACCGCCTCGAGAGGCACCGGCCGCGCGTAGGTCTCCATGTCGTTCACCACTAGGCTCTGTGACGTCACGGGCACCGCCCACTGTTGCATGCCAGTGTGCTGCTGCTGTTGTTGTTGCTGCTGTTGTTGCTGCTGCTGCTGTTGTTGTTGCTGCTGCTGCACTTGACCAACCTGTTTATGATACTCAGGATATCAGTATAGTACTATGAAATATAGTAATATAGACATTACTATCATGTTTAAAATCAATAAATCATTGTCACCATCATCATACTCATCATCATTATCATCACCAAATTGGTTGCAATGCACTTAATTATATTTCTTATAGCTGTTTTACTAGAACTATACTTGTAATATCGACAACACCACAGCATTGGACGCTACATAGCAATAACAACTATAGTATATAGGTATAAAAGCAGCAAAATGCCCCAAAATCAAGTTGAAAGTACAATAGCACATGGCAAACAGAAAAATTCATCCAAGTAAATATTAAAGCTCCTTAACGGCATAATTCAACTCTTACTAATTGAGGGAAGACTGTCAGCCATAGACATTCCACAGCATACCACAGATTCCATTCAATTGACTACGTCACAAATATTCTATGGTGTATATTTGTACAATTTTTGTTGCAATTTTTTTACATGAAAAGTAAGTACTAACGGCACTAAATGTATCCTCAAATTCTTACCTGATAAGATTGTTTTTCAACTAGTTAAAAATCCAAAATATCTGGGCGATTTGATATATTCATCACGACATTAAATGCTTGCTATGGGCTATGTATGAGTCATGAGTGTTTCCACATCCAATGGAATAGCAAAATAGGAAGTATAATGCAGCAATTTAACCATAAAAAGTGAACAGAATCACTTACATTTTGCGACAAAGTGGACATGATTTTTTTACTTTTACTATTTATATACTTTTTAGTATATGAGTATCCTTGCCCACTTTTCTTCTGTTCGTAACTTTTGAAGACCCCCCCCCCAAAAAAATAGGTAAAAAAAGCAACAAAATATACTATAAAGAAAGCTGCGCACATTGTCTGCAACAGGAGCTTCAACATGATTATAAACCTGCTGAACAGTGACCCTGCGACTGCCGTACGTCCTCTCCGGAGGGGATTGCCGGCTAGCATGGACAGGAGGAGTGGGCTGCAACTGTCGGTGCACAGTACCGCCAGTCTCCTGCTGGGTAGGAGCAGGTGGGATTTCTCCTGCAAGTACATCAGTGATAGTTGGTGATAGTTGGAAAGCAGAAAGTTTACTTTACGTATTCAGTTCTGGGTGTGCATGTGGTTGACAACAAACCATTGTCTTCGCTTGTCAAACAAACATATTCATCTGTATGTATATATACAGTAGAAGTCCAAAAATCCGGACCATCCGACAACCAGGACTTTTAGAAAACTCTCAAACTTTTTTGTTTCGTTAATAAAATTAACCTAAAAATAAATAAATAATTTGTATAAAATACCCCTTGCAATGCTGTCTTTATGGCAGTATCGGATATGACTGAACAAGCCAATCTTATGCTGACTGGTAAATCGACAAAATCGACACTTAAATGATGTCACGATATCCACAAACTCATCCAATTTCATCTTTCCACCACTGTGGGTGGATTGTGCCTGTGCCTGCATCTTCGCTATTTGCCTCCTTCACTGCAATAAAACGAAAAAATCTATTCATTTATCTGCATTTTCATATCTAAAACCAAGGCATTTCTGACTAATCTACCTTCATGATAGCTCACCCACTTAGTTATACCACGATCTACATTGAAATACTTGCCAAAATTGACCCTTTCTAGTTCTAACTCGGACAGTGTGTCATATATATCCTACCTAATTAACTATGCCACCTCCATATACCACCTACTTCCCATTTCATGCAGAAATGCGGCTTTTACGGTAGATTAATATGATTGTGTGAAAAAGTGTGCTAACTTTTTACGCAAGTATAACATAGAATTAGCATAGTATTTTTGTGCAATAACTTTACACCTGCACATTTGATGAGGAAATTTGGCCAACACTGATGTTCTCTAACCTCATATCCAGCCACATGATGGCAGACAACTCTGTACAATTTGTGGATAGGTGTGAAAATTAAGTTCTTGGGTAATTATATAGGGTTAATCAATTTTTTATCCAACTAATTTTACTCTAACATTAAAGCCCTGCCAATTCTGCAGCAAATTAAGTTTGTCGGTGGTCAACATTATGAACAGTTTATTAATATTAGGTAGGTTGTGAGCAGGATCTAACATGTACACTATATACCCTCCAATCCAAAAATAACTCTGGACGTACACAAAATAACAGCAGTAACTCTGCTGTAACTGAAAAATCAACGAAAAATCAAGGTAAATATCTTCAAGAACTGGAAATTTATCTTTGAACTTTTACCTTGATTACCTTACCTTCACAACATTTACCTTGATTTTTCGTTAACTTTTCAGTTACAGCAGAGTTACTCCGACTAATCAGCGACGAGCCGGTGTTGAGTGCGGGGTAGTTCTGAATTCACTAATCATGGCGGTTTTGTTTACGTTGGAAGTTACGAAAGTCTGATAAATTGGACAATAGTTGTGACTATTCCAGAAGAGAAGGAACCGCGTGTGGATTTTCAGATTTCCTGATCCCGGACGGTTAAAACGGTATCAAGGTCTTTGTGTTCGGTTGTCTGATTGCTGAGATCTAGCCATTTTTATTTGCGACTCGGGTTATAAGTTGTGACAAGTAATTTTTCGCATTGGCCAAAAACAGTGGTTTGCCATCAAGTTTAACGGCTCTAATGTGGAATCGAGGTACAGGGGTGGATTAATTGTTGTGCATGGTCGAAGTGGATACATCTGGCTGTGATATGGTGCAAAAGTTGATAGAATAAGTGTGAATTTCTGTCTGTAGTTGGAGCTTAAATGAAAGGTTACTGTGATCGCCAGCGTGTGGAAGTTAGATCCCTTCTTCTCTTTATATATATTATAACACTTTTTTTGCCTCAGGTCCCTGTGGTACATGCATGTATAGAATACGTACAATGCTGACATGCTGTCAATGCTAACCGCACTCTACTCTCCCTGCTCAGTAACATGCACTAACAGTATTACAACCAAGTACTACTACTACTACTAGTATTAGTAATAGTACTACTACTAGTACTATAGTATACTACTACAACACACTTAGTATTAGTATACTACTACAACACACTTAGTATTAGTAGTACTAGTATACTACTAACATTACTCATTAGCCTGTTGTAGATAACACTAGTCACTAGACACCCTAATCGCTAATGCCCTCTATCTGAATATCTCCACCACCAAGGAGCGTTAGGCCTACTCAACGTCGTGTAACTTTCATCGTTTCTGACACCAACTACAACACCAACTACAACGCCGACCGTAGGTAGCGATGTTTACAGAAGTGATGTTTATTTTTCAGACATTACGAAAAAGTTTGCGCGCGCTTCCACATTTCCTTATAACTGCAAAGCGTGATGCGAAACATCTATGGGGCTGGTCAACATCGCAAGTTCCATTGCCCGCGAGGCCGTCTCATCCCTCTTCGCTAGTCACCAGTCTGGGTGTGGTAGATGGACGCCATGATGACGTCGTGTCGCAATCAAGGTCAATAAACTATTGCACTTTAAATACACACCGACTCATAACGGACGAAAAAGTAATATCGTATCGATCCCTTGTACAACACAGAACTTATATGAACGATACTGTTCTTAAATGCTTGCTAAATACGAATGATTCTAACGGAATATATAAATATTGAAAACCTTTTGTTCCCGTCTTGTTGGCTGTCCGACTGTGCTGCCATCCGGTGGCTGAAAACGACATAAAATACTCTACGATAGCAGTGCCATCTGCTAACAAGAAAATGTACAAACCAGCAGCTGAGAACAGACCACTATTAAATCTTCCATAGGATCTTATACTTAAGAATTGAATTTCAGGAGCTGAAAAATAGTATTTCGGCCGTTTTCGGCCGAGTGGCAATATTAAAGCTAGGTAGTTATGCACTTCAGCTGTGCACCATTAGAGTTATGACATATGTTGTTCCGCGTTTTAAAAAAATATCGCGAATTTACTAATCGACACCACATTTGTGCCTGAAAAACAGTTGCGCAGTCGAATGGGGGCCATACATTGAAAGAATTCGTTTTAAATTACCAGTAACCATCCCCCATCTCCATGTGCATGTCATTGACACACACGATAGCCAGCCTAAATAATGCAGCCACAAAACATCGCGTCAGCTTTAGCGCACGAGCTGCGGGCACTCCGATTGGTTGGCCGATGACGCGTCACATCCTCCAACCTAACAGGGTAATGAACCGGTAGTGATTTAATAGTGGTCACGTGTCAGCTCTTCATCACGTAGCAGTACGGTTTAGCAAACTTGCCTGAAGACGTATTTTTAATGACATACATTAATGCATCATTTAATTTTCTTAATTTGTACAAATTTGATCAAGCAGGGTTTTCCACGAGTTAAACTTACCAGCGCAATAACATTAATTAGGACTTCGGCATTTATTTGAGGGGGGAGCTGCATTAAAACATTCCATGAACCAGAATTTTTGAGTAGACAAGCATAAAAAATAGAAAAAATATATGAACACCATATTTTATAAAATACATTTATTTCACACAATAATTTTACACACATTATCGACATAAAATGGATGTAGTGAGATATCTACACACTACAAGAAAACAAAACATACTGACATTTTTACTAATGATTCAGGGGTGCAAATAAATTCATCCATATAACCTTAGATTACAATTTTACTTGGTTCGTCACCATGAGCTTGTAACAACAGGCAGGTTTACACTGTGATGAGCTGTAAATTCAAGTCCAGACTTTACATATTGTTGTTTGAATGTTTGGTTATATAAAATAATAAACATCAGTTGTGTTCTTCTCTTTATGACCTCAGGGGATGATTTTCCAAGTTGCACACAGGGTTTTCGCTGATGATATACAAATTAAGTATTTACATAATGATGCATCATCATGCATGGTCTCTACTGTCTGTAGGCTCCTGGAGGCCCTAAAACAATGAGGAATATATTACTGTATGTGTGTACTGGTAATGAACAGCAAATGAGTAAATGGGATCTTAACTTCCCAGTTTTAATTACAAAGCACTAAACTGGCCAATCAATATCTGATTGGCCATAATCATTATAAATACACTGGTTACCTCCGCCAAGGGGTTGGCAGGAGGTTATGTTTTCACCGGCGTGTGTTTGTTGGTTTGTGGGTTTGTGCGTTTCTTTGTTTGTGTACAGCCTAACTAAACAAGTGCCGCAGAGTGACAGCGCTCACCTGACGGCAGGTGTTCTGATGCTAAACTCACTGGCAAACGAATCAAGAGCACCCTCCCATCACCACGTTCGCTCTCCCTCATTGTCTCTCTCATTCTTTCTCTTTCGCTCTCTCGCTCTTGCTCTCTCTTCCCTTCGCGCTCTCTCCCCCCTCTCTCTCTCTCTCTCTCTCTCTCTTGCTCTCTCTCTCGCTCGCTCACACTCACTCTCTCTCGTTGTCTCTCTCTTTCTTTGTCTTTGTCTTTCTCTCTCTCTCTCTCTCTCTCTTTCTCTCACTCTTTCGCGCGTTCTCTCTCCTTCTCTCTCACTCTCTCTCTCGCTCTCTCTCCCCCTCTTGCTCTATCACTCTCTCTCTTCCTCCCCCTCTCTCTCTCTCTCTCTCTCTCTCTCTCTCTCTCTCTCTCTCTTCCTCTCTCTCGCGCTCTCTCTCTCTCGCTCTCTCTCCCTCGATTTTTCTCTTTCTCGAGGCGGTAGCGCTGCCGGCCGAGGCTGTGCGACTGATTGTCTATACAGATGTTTGATTGTCTATCAGACTGATTGTCTGATGGTCTTCTAACCCTAGCAAGACCGTTTCGTGAAGCTAGCAAGGTGTTAACGTTTTTATATAACTTCACATAAATGTTTATACTATATGTTAATTCTGGTTTCCCAGCAGCGGCCAGCAATGGTAGAAAATTATGAAAAATTGCTCTAAAAAGCTGCTTGTCCAGCGGACAAGCCACCGGACAGATCTACTTGTCCTCCGTGGAAATGGACAAGTACGGACAAACGGATAGCCCTTATTTCGAACACTGGGTTATTTCGAACACTATCGTATCAGGAACCTTCTCGAAGAAATGTTTGTTGGGATCGTTATGAAAGTTGCCACGAGATGGCGCATACGTTTGAGTGTCTTAAGATTGAAGATAAAGATCCCATCGTACGTAGTATAGCAATTTGCAAGACAGAATAGGTAAGCATTTACCTACGCAAGCCTACAGGCTGAAATAGAGAGCTGCTACCTGTAACTAATTAATGCAGGCAAAAACTACACCGTACTATCACCACCACATGCACTGGCAGTGGCCACTAGCAGTGGCATAAGTTACATGTAACACACTGACAGTACAGAATGCCATAGAAATTATACGATTTAAGGAGCATAAACCTTCTTCAACCAAATTTAGCTTCTGAAATTTCACTGTGACATTGTAGCCTTATACATCCAGGCATGTATAGATTCTACTAGCAAACCCGGCAGTCAAATTCTTTCTAACAGTAAACAAATCCATGTTTAACCCTCCTCTTGAGGGTCAAAAGGTTATCCGACACTTGCTCTTCGCATGTCAGCAGAAAGTACATTTCATGGTCCTTTCAATAAAGCCATAAAAATGCTAGGTTTTTCAATCCCTCCGTCAGACCGTGTCCTCAGAAAATGTCTAAAATCTGCCCTGTGCCCCATTGACCTTTGACCTGTGACCTCCAATTTCGACACATTGATGGCTTTTCCTACCATGATGCTATACACCGACTATCACGAGCCTAGGTCGAGCCGTTTAGATTTGTGCCGCAATTCTGCATTTCCTCCCTGTACTAAGGTTAAGAAGGAATGTTCCCCTTTTACACCTCTTTGACTTTGACCCAGCTTCGAATCCCAACTCGTTTTGACGATCCCCCCCCAACGTCCCGAATATCGTGACCGTACGTTGAGCAGTTAAGATTTGTGGCCAAACTTGTTGTCG